ACCAAATTTTAATCAGTTCTTCCTTAGCCGATGGGAAATGCACTCACAAAATTTCGTACGGATATGTTTGGTATTTCTTGAGTTATCGTGCTCACAGACGTTTACACACACATACACACACACATACATACACACACACACACACACATACACACACACACACACACACACGTACAAACCCAGATGATTACATAACCTCCTGGCGGAGGTAAAAACCCAGATGATTACATAACCTCCTGGCGTAGGTAAAAACCCAGATGATTACATAACCTCCTGGCGGAGGTAATAAATCAGAGAGTGTTTGCTTGAAACTCGCCGGGGGGGGGGGTGCAACACCCCAGATAATTGCTCATGAGCAATTTCAGGTAGATTTCCGTTGCTCTTTTAGGTAAATTCAAGTAGATTTCCAAAAGATTTTCAGGGGAATTCAGGTAATTCTCAGGACATGAGAAAGTGAATTTGGAAAACAACTGTTTGCGTATTTTCGGAAAAATTGTGATATGTCCCGAAAATTTTTTGTACACCTGGAAACATTTTGGTACCCACCCCCCTCTATCTAACCTCACACACCCCCTGAGACAAAGTCCTCGCAACGGCACTGAGTATACATCTTTTGAAAACAGGCTAGGGGTTATTGCATGCATGTACTTCTAGTATAATTTTATCCCCGAGCCGAAGGCGGGAAGCGCCGTGCGAGGGTACTAATCCCCCCGGCTATTTACACCAGGGGAAACGAAAGCATTAGCGAAGTCTAAAATTCATGGCGGTCATCCTCACTGATCTCAAAAATATGGCGGACTGTCATGAATAGCGAACACTGGCATTGGTCCAATTTAAAGTTTGCATTATAACGACTACATGACGACAGCGAAATAGCAAACATTTCTTGATTTGATGATTGATAAATTTCTTGCAAACATATTAATTTTATTTTTGCTCGCATTTTGCAAGATTTTGTAAATTTCAAGAAAGAAAGGGTGAAAAAATCGGCTAAAACAATGGAGCCGACGTTAACGAAGGTAAGTTTGTTTTAAATATTGATTTTATAATTGCTTTAAAACCCGACGGCTTTTGCGTATATGAAACAACTAAACAAGACAGCACATAATTTCAGTGTATCTTTAATATTGATCATGATTCCCTTTTTTATTATATTAAATTTTTGGAATAAAAAAGAAGCAAAGTTATTTGCATGCGAGAATTTGAAATCATTTTATTGCAAACTCAAAGTTTATCGATATTAAAAGCCATTTAATTAAAAGCTGATTTTAATAGTTTTATAAAGAACATTTGACTTTAAAACGTTTTAAATTTTACATTAAATTGAAGCTTATATTTCGTATAATATCATACCTAACATATATATATATATATATATATATATATATATATATATATATATATATATATATATATATATATATATATATATATATATATATATTACCATGGCAACTACTTTAGATACCTAATGTTCGGCAATTGTCAGCAAGGCGAGGGTTTCTGTTAATATTCTTTATGTTAATGTGAATAGCACGTGACTGAGTCTGCGCATCAAAGTGGCGGAGTGGGACTCAACATTGCGAACATGTGGTCACGCTGATAGAGTTGTAAAGTTGTTCATATTAAAAGTTGATATTACAAGTTATCACAGTGTAAAGTTTGATTTAATTACATTGGTAGCAGAGAGTGGTTCTTAAAAAGTAAAAGATATGGATAGTATTTATACATCCACCGAAGTATCATAATGACTATACAACATGGAAGCAGGAAATCGAGCTGTTGACGAAGGTTACAGGTTTGGGCAAGGCAAAGCAAGGCATTGCGGTTTGTTTAACGCTTGATGGCAAAGCAAAAGAAGTTGGATTAGAATTAGGAAACGATCTCGGCGGCGAAGACGGACTTGGTCAATTGTTAAGGAAGCTTGATACGTTATTTCTCAAGGCCACTACTGAAAGTGATTACGAGGCGTATAAAAATTTTGATACTGTTAGAAAAAAACCTAGTACAAGTATGACAGAATACATTGTAGACTTTGATTCACTTTACACCAAGATCAAAAAGAGAGAGATGGTTTTACCAGAAGCTGTTCTTGCCTTTAAATTATTGGACAGGGCAGGCTTGACTGAAAATCAACGACAATTAGCACTAACTGCTTGTTCCGACCTGAAATATAAAGCATGAAGTCTACACTAAAAAGAATTTTTGGTGTTGCATTTGCAGACAGTGCCAGCGGTGTGACAGGAGATGAAGCAATCTCGGTGAAACAAGAAGCAATGTATTCAGCAAGCAATAGAACCCAAGTTAGAACATCCCTGATAAAATATCGATCTAATCGTAAAACAAATCCGTTAAACCGATTTGGTCAACCAACTAGATGTAGAATTTGTCAGTCAATTTTTCACTATGCTACAAACTGCCCTGAGAAAAGTGAGAGAGTTCATTTATCAGAGGATGTACCACCATCTGAAGAGGGTGTGGAATCAGTAAATATCACATTGTTGCCCCAAAGTGAGATATTGATAGCCGAGTCATATGGCACTGCGATACTTGATACAGCTTGCACAAAAACTGTCTGTGGAAAGTCGTGGCTGCAGAACTTTGTTGAGAAGGATGGTAAAGTGTTATCAACTCAGAAAAGTCATAGACCTTTCAAGTTTGGTCATGAATCATTAATATACTCTGACAAAGTAGTTACAATTGCAGCAAAAATTGGGAAAACAAATTGCAAAATAAAAGTGGAGGTGGTACCGATTGAACTGCCCTTACTGTGCCTCACCCAAAGTACTAAGAAACGCCTTAGAAACTGGTACATTGTTTGCATAAATAAATGTTAATGTGAATAGCACGTGACTGAATCTGCGCAGCAAAGTGGCGCAGTGGGACTCAACATGGCGAACATGTGGTCACGCTGATAGAGTTGTAAAGTTGTTCATATTAAAAGTTGATATTACAAGTTATCACAGTGTAAAGTTTGATTTAATTACAGTTTCTGCATGCATGTATTTTCTAGTATGGTAATAATAGACTTAAAGTCGAAGTCCAGTCCGCGTGTAGCCTAATTAGCTCTTTATCGACATGAGCCTATTATCGCAATGCTTGTAAGCAATGCGCTTTGCCGATTTAATATCTTCGGTTTATTGAATGCTATGAGGACAAAAATACCACCATTCGATTCAGTGTGACTAGATCTCCTCACTCGTAGCAATAGTGTTAGTCATTGGCAACATTATAGCGATTTATGAGCTTTAAAAGTAAAGCGAGATCGAATACGATCAAATTACGCATTTTACCAACAAATTATAAAAACATAAACATACCTTTCGCCGAACATAACTTCGGCCCCTTGAGACATATGCTCAATGTGATATTCTTGATGAATTAAGCATTTAAAATACCATGTGTAGTGTTATTTTCAAGCTTCTATCTTTAAAATGTGACTTTTAGTGCCGAATTTTACATTTCTGCTCCGAATTTGCGATAATCCCAACGGAAATACGACGAAAACTCGTCAAAACAATGCTACGCTTGCATCGCGTGACTCTGGAAATGCCAGAAATGATTCTGCAGGTCAAAGTGCACCTATACGCGTGCGTTGACGTCATCCCGGCTGAAGCAACTCCTTATTGGCCAAGTATTGCACAATACACGCGTGTGCAAGTAAAACCCCATACCTTGAAAAATTCAAAATAAATATTTCTACTCGTCGTATTCATACGAAACTTTCTACACTAAAACGCTTGAATACAAAGAGTAATTTGCACATATAGCCTTTCAGAAAATGACGAAAAGTTTAGAAGATATTCAACTTTTTCTCTTTTTTATTTTTCTCTTGAATGTTTGGCGAAGCGGTGAGTATAAATATATGATTGTTTCGGTTTGTATAATGTTCGACAGCACTTGACCCCCCGTTCAAAAGGTTATTTTGTGAGGATTACAATGGTGGGTTTTGTTTTAAGGGGGGGGGGAGGGGGTAAATACTCGCCGCGATATTTACATTTGAAAAATTGAATCGTAATGTAATGCGAAACCAATTGTCTACAAAGAGAGCCTAAACAAACGGTTTGTTTACATTTTGAACTGCTGTATTTTTGTTGCATGCGCATGCAACTTTCATGTAACTCTAAATTTCGTGTCGCGGTTTACCGGCGCGGTGGCATATCACGTGACAGATTCGTAAAATACGACAAATACCGAGTTTTTCCGGCAAGCATTTTCATCTGATATGAATCACTTATGCACGCTTTTGTCACGGCTTTCGTCGAGGAAACTCAAAGAAAATATTCACGCCTGGCCGAAAATTAACGTAATTGAGCGCCTTAGAAGAATAGATCGAAGTATGTAAAGCTTTGCTGTTTTTAATTTACCTTATATTCTGTTTTTTATTGTTATCTTGGAGCCGTTGTGCTCGCACTGATTATTTGTCAGCCGTTTAATATTTATATCGTGAAGGCTATACGCCATCAAAATACTCAATTCTTTTATATATGCTCAAATTGAAACGAAGTAATTGTGCTCACACTGATTATATTGTGTGCAAAACTTTAAAACTACAGTACATTTTGTAAATAACATGAAATATACACCAACACAGAAAAATCATGAAATATATTATAAATATCAAACAAAATTCTCGTCAATACTATTAAAATTTAATACAACTTACGAAATAGCATTCTACGTCGATAATTTCAATCAGAGTTTAATAATTATTTTCAATCTATAGTAATTCACCGTTTCCACAGGGGCGTAAATCTGGGGGTGTGTGGGGGGGGGTGGTTCACCCCCCCAGAGAAATGATCCAGTCGGTCTCAAACTACGTGCAGTCGGTCTCAAAATTATGCGTTTGTTTACATGCAGTGCTTTGCGAAGCAAATTAAATATTTTCGAAACTCAGACTATTGAGTACTGAGTTGGAAATTTGCTCAAACGGATCAAACAGCTCAGAAATAATATGAAGTAATATTACGTACTTATTTCGCGAGTTTATGAATGAATTATCAGTCAAAACGCGCGCCAGGGGATGAAGTTTCCATTTATTTATTTATGTGACGATTACGTGTCATTCACGGGTGATATTCTATATTAGCGAAAATTTCAAACCCCCAAAATTAGACTCCAAAATGCGATGAATCTCGATCAAAATAGCTAACATTAGTTACAATAATTCTCCGGTCCCTAAACTATATTTTTAAGATGCAAAGTGCAAAAACAAGTTATATTAGGAGACTTAGGAAGTATATGTTCACAAGTAACACGATATGCATATGCTGATATGCATTTTGTTACCGAAGAGTTTTATGTGCCTACTGCAATCAAGAAATTCGATCAGTGAACAATGCCCTGGTTTATCTGAAATCACGGAGCGAAAAATTGTTTCCACTGACTAGGCGATGTTTCCAATTGTTGCCTACAGTCAGGCCCATAACTAAGTATATGAGTCAATCGAGTTCAAGTTCAATGACAGACAGTAGTTCTTTCTATGTAAAGAAGCATTATTCTTGCCCTACAGTGACGTAAGAAATGGGAGGCTGTGTGGGTGCACAAGTACCCCAATAACAAATGTGCGGGCCAGCGCCCAAATATTACAACAATTGAGCACAAACACTTTTTTATTATGCACCTGATCAATGATGTTCGACCAAAAATATTTGTTATTCTTAGCCTCAGGATTGGGGGCAAACTACAGTATAAAATTATAGTCATTGTATCACTGTTTATGAAATTGATATTTCGTTTGAACTGCTCCCAGAATGTTGGAAATAGCGTTTCTAAGCCTTAGAAAATCAAAAATTTTCTGGGGGATCATGTCCCCAGCCCCCCCCCAGAAGTGTCTCGGTCAATCAAAAATCCTATAGTTACGCGCCTGACAGTTCCTGTAACATCCGCATCAGCCGAGCGCAGCTTTTCAAAGCTGAAATCAGTGAAAACTGTTATGCGTTCAGTAATGAACCAGGAACGCCTTGGTGAACTCTTGACTCTTGCGTGTGAGCGCGATCTAACAGACACGATTGATCTTGACGAAATCGCTAATCCGTGGTCAAACCTGACTAAGCGCGAACACTTAATTAATAAAAGTATAACGTTTCATAGCAAACTGTACGTGTTCTTGCAATATTCTTGATAAATGCCATCAATTTCCATGCTTTGTATTCAATTTTATTGCAACACACCAACTCACCAAGAGTCGGTCTGGATTCACATTTCAGTGGTGGGTCGGTCTCATTTCGTGATTACACCCTCCCAATCAAAATCGATATGTCCGCCTGCTTGTCGCCTTAATTAAAAACGTATCAATACGAAAACCTCTAAGACCCCGTTTACATAGTTTACACGGTAGCAGACGAAGTTGGAACCGGGACGAAATTCGTCCTTTTTCGCGGAACCGGACGAATTCGAGACCCCCTAACAGGACGAATTCGCCTGTATACTAACAGGCGAAAAAGGAAGAATTTCAGCCCGGTCCCAAATTCGTCCGGTACCGTGTAAACGTGGGGTCTAAATCTACCGCGCGCGTAATACAAAATAATATATGCCTATATATACAAAATTTGCAAACTTTACAGGATTATATTTTCTTCATTTTACAACATTTAGCAACCAATATTTGCAGCTTTACTCATTCTAAGACGCTCTTTCTAGCTGTGGTGTTGGAATTCGTTCTTCTTGCCTTGATAAAAAATTAGTCTATAGCTGCAGGAATCACCCATTAAGGGCGCACTTTTATAAGTTGGAGTTTTGTACATATTGCTAAACTGCACCACTTTTTGTATTTTTGGTGGAAGCAATTTATATAAATAAACAAAAATAAATAATTAAATTCTATATACTTCTATAGCTTTTTCCCTGTTTGGGGAAAATACTAACGCTTTCAAAGCAAACTAATTTTTTTGGAAACAGGGCAGTACTTTCCGGCAAATGCTTGCAGCAAAATTTTCAATTGAAACAACAATGACAATGTCAATCAGCGTTTACTAGTTTTCCCAAATTTTTATTTCGACTGATTTTCAATGTAGATGCCCAACGATTTGTTGGACGGCTACGAGAAGACATCCGTAGTATTGGTGCAACTCTTCCAAACTATTCAAGCTCTTAAATACAACAATGTTGAGGTTTTCTCAAGCTTATGTGTACTAAAACTGAAGCAAATTGCTTGTTCACCAGTGTACTGCTCAGAAGATGAGAAACAAATATTAATAGAAAATGACCAAGAAGATTGCAACGATTCTGTCAGGAAATGGTAAGAACAATTGGTACTGCCGTATTGTTATAGATATAGCTAGTGCTTTAAACTAAACGTGATTGTTTGATTCGCAGTCACGTGGATTCAGATCTATGCAACGTATCCCGCCGGGCAACAAGTGAAAAATTGGTGCAAACTCCGAACGGCTATACGTACATAAATCCCAAAATGTAGTAAATAGTTTAGAAAGAACAATTTTCCAGTTTACGAAAAGACTAAAGTAGCTATCTAACAGAGGAGAGGCAGGTTCAAGATAATTTACATTAAAGAGTTTTATTCATGAAACACAATTGTTTTGCAAACGTTCGTCACTTTATCTTTGTCGCTATATATACAGCTACAGTAATTAAAAAAAGGTGGTTCTTTGCAAACCTTAAACTCGAAATTTTAAACGTTAAACTCTGAGCGCGCAAAGCATAATGGGAGCACACATTTCAAGTTTAGTGGTTGAATATTGCAGCTGTTTGTGAGTGAAATGTTTTCGCATCGCACGGCTATGATCGCAGGGAGATATTTACCGTGTCTCTAAGAAATGGGCTCCATATATACTTTCTGAAGTAGAGTTTAAGGTTTTAGAGTTTAAGGTGTGCAAAGGACAACCTTTATTAGCCTTTTCCCAAGAGATCACAATGCATTCTGTGATCGTTTTGAGGGACAAAATATATGGTGACAGGCGTCAAATATGTGAAAGAGTAGAAGTATCTACTATCAAATATGAACTTTTTAGACGACCAAAAATGAAATATCTCCTTTTTACCTTAAACTTTTAATTTAAATATGTGCTGCCATATTTCAGTTTTCCCTCCA